GGGTATTTTTCTTGCTCAAGGCTGGCTGTGGAAACGTTGATATCCGTGAGTGAACGAAAACAAGCTGCTGCAACCAAAACACTTTGAGTCCCAGGAGTGTAAACCCCCGAAATCTGATAGAGAGACATATTTTTTAATTGTGGTCTGCTGCTCTTATGAGCTTCAGTAGAGCCATTGAGATGATCTCATCTCTCAGGCATCCAATATCAGGTTTTCAGGTGGAAAATAAATATTGGCATAGCAGCGGCAGTACGCCCCTCTTATTTCACCTTCCCCTGGGAGAGGTGGGCTAAGAGAGAGCGAGAGTCAGAAGTAAATAGGTAAGAGGGGACAGAAATAGAGGAGGGTAGGAACAGAAAGGTGAAGGAGACAGGCATGTGAGAAGCATTAGCAGATTACTGCATGGAGCATGATGGGACATGAACGGTTGCAAGCTAGGCCAGATCCCTATGGGACAGAACGTTATTGAATATGATAGAGCCTTATAGGGCGCTTTGAAGTTGCAAAGGGGATACAGGGAAAGGATTGTCGAAACAATTTACAAGGTGAACAAAAATACTTTGAATTTAAGTCATTACTTTTCTTATGTTTGTTTCAAATTAACATCTTTTCTCATGAGCCAGGGCAGAAACACTAGACTGTGAGTTTATCAGAGAAGATCAAATCACATAAGTTCGAGAAGCCACCGTCCTTATGTCCCAGTCCTTCATTATTGTAAAAATAGGGAAGGTGCTGAATGACAATCATGCTGGACCAGACGTTTGCAGTCCAGTAATCTGGCGAATGTGAGGGGTGAACAAACGTGATGACTGACAGTAATAGGATTAGCACTAAGGAAGATCAAGAGAGTAATCAGAGACCTTAACTGATCCATGTCACCTGAAAATGGCACAATAGGGAGCCGGTTGTTGCACAGTTGGAGCCAGACTGAAACAAAGTCGCATAATTCCCTTTAAGGAGAGCTGTGATTAAAAGATAATCATCCCTAACAATGGACTGATGCTTAGAAAAGCTTCATTGTTGAATGCATTAAGCAGTCATTGAACTGACGGCTCACATCAGAGGAAATGCTCCAGGTCTGCAGCATATTTTTCAAAAAGCAGGAAGTGCCCTTGAGCTGCAGCGTCCCTATCTGATTAAGTCGAAAGCTAAATAAATTCAACAGACAAAGATGTGAAACAATTAGGCATGCAATGGATCCACACCCCGAGGCTTCGAGGAGCACTCAAAGACATTTCAGAGATGTCATGATTCACCAAGCCCTCTCGCTGTGTCTCCTCCAGGTAGATGGCTTCTTTACCCTACTCTTCGGCCTTGCAAGCATCAACACCTTGACCGTTATCAGCGTCACCAGATACATCAAGGGATGCCACCCAAACAAAGGTCAGATTTACCCTCCTTGAATTTAAGTGAGAGTATATAAACAAAGCTTAAGGCCGGAGTCTCTGCCCACTTCACATTCCTGCAGTTCTTATCTGACAGAAAAGTGTGTTTTTTGCTGCTAATGAAGCCTCATTACCGACTTCAGCTGTGGAAATTACTACCACTTGTCTCAAGCAATTTCATTTACATTTCGCAAACGTATCATTAAGTTATCTTGAGGTGGCATTTTCTATTTTCGGGTGTAACTGATGCTGAAGAATGTCTTAATTATATGGAAATTAGGTTTAGCAACTGCCTCTGTTGTGAGAAAATGAGTTTTTACTGTGTGACTGTGACTGTTCGTAAAACACAACAATATAAAACCTTTGTATATTGGTATCACATTACATGTTTTATATGCTAGAGTACAGCTGCATCTACTGCAAACAGCAACAGATAAGGATACAAATCTGAAAATCAGATAAAAACAACTTAATTTTAGGTCGAAATGAAAGGAGGCCAGGTAAACTAGAAAGGATCTTAGAAACAACATGAGGTAATTCAGCCTAACAAAGATGAGTAACCCATGGCAACAAAGTACATTGCCAATCCTAAAGATTATATCCCTGGCCAATCCCGTCACAAACTGTACTGCACTTTTCATGTGTTATATTGAGATTAGATATGGGAACGCTGCACAGACATATATTTTCTTTCTTCTCCTGAACACAACGCTATGTGTACTTTGTCAACAGAGGTTCTTTTCAGTCGCAGATGTTTGCAAAGGCTGTTAATATAAGAAAAGGCAGCATTGTTCAAATAAATGTCACACTCTTCACATTCATAACAAGTCAAGAATGCTGCATCTTGAAGTGCCTCTCACTCTGTCCTGTTTTCTAACCTTTTCCAACTCCTACAATCTGTTCCATAACGTGGGAATATTATATTGTAATGTTCCTGTTGTATTTTTGGCAGCTTACTGTATCAGTGTGAACACCATTGCCGTATCGCTGATCTGCATTTGGACCGGAGCGATGTTTTGGTCTGCTGCTCCACTGCTAGGCTGGGGCAACTACACAGGTCTGTTCTCACACACTATCACAATGGAAGAAATGAGAATTCAACTTTTGAAAGCTTGGATGTGACCTTGGTGTCTTGTTCTTCTTAGATCAAGGATACGGTACCTGTGAGGTGGACTGGGCCAAAGCCAATTACTCCACCATCCACAAATCCTACATCATCTCCATCCTCATCTTCTGCTTTTTCATCCCTGTGATGATAATGCTCTTCTGCTACACCTCCATTATCAACACAGTGAAAAACACCAACGCCATGACCGCAGATGGTTTCCTTACATCCCACCAAAGGAAGGTGGAGAGAGATGTCACAAGGGTAAGGGGAAAACAAGTTGATATCTGTATTTTATTGGAGGGAATTGATTCGAAAAGTAAAATAAGACTCTTTAAAGAGCTCTTTAAAAGGGCCCTTTCTGTAATACAGCTCCTCTCACGTTATACTTACAATTATTCCCTCATGTTCCTCTCCAGATTTCCATTGTGATCTGCACAGCTTTCATCATGGCCTGGTCCCCATATGCAGTCGTGTCTATGTGGTCAGCCTGGGGCTTCCATGTGCCAAGCACAACCAGCATCATGACACGTCTCTTTGCCAAGTCTGCCAGCTTCTACAACCCGCTCATCTACTTTGGCATGAGCTCCAAGTTTCGCAATGACATCTCTGTGCTGCTGCCCTGCACACGGGAACGCAGGGAGGTGGTGCGCCTGCAGCATTTTAAAAACTTCAAACCTAATGCTGAGGCCCCGCCCCCAGCTGCATTACTTCCTGTCCAGAATCCGGAGGCAAAATACGCCGCAGCCATTCCTGAAAGTGACTCAGGGGTCAACAGCCCTCCCCACACGCCTCCATTTGTCATCACCAATGACCTGCCCTCACACATCGAAACATCAGAGTACTGGTGTGACAGGCTCTGAAGACATTTCACCAAATGCTTGGGGAGATTAAGAATACTTTTATATATTTGTTTCTTACCCGTGTTAACAGAATGTACTTGTAATCTGTGTTAATAAATTATTTTCTGAATCTCAAGTGGGATTTCACACTTGTTGAAGCAAGGGTTTTCATTTCCAGCTCTTACAATGGCTTTATTTTGCCAAAGCATCAAGGTAAGATTAAACACTACAATACAACAATAGTAATATTAGCAATAACACAACATACTGCAGATAAAATACAACAAAATGAAGACTGTCCAAATATGTGTGTGTGTACGTTTTTGACATACTGTCCGGTTGCAGTGCAGCTAAATATACTAAATGTCCATCTCCTTATACGATCTTTTGTTTCTGTTTGAAATTAACATGACATTTCTTTAAGGTTTTCCATTCTGATATTATTATATTTGTCACATTTCCACCTGTTTTACAGTGACCACAGAGTCTTCCCTCTGCCGGTAGCCGGGCCTTCTTGCGATTGTTGTTTTATTCAATCCACATTGGTAACAGCTATGTATAAATCGGACATAAAACTGATTTACCTGAACGAAGTACTCCACCCCACAAAAAAAAGTGCAGCCAGTAATGTAGTGAAACAGATGCAGGATAACATCTGGAAACATTGAACTGTACTCACTGTAGTAGCTTCAGAATCATTCCCTGATAGATGCCATAGGCTACTACACTTTGTCCCCTGTAGAAATGTAATTTAACATTTCCATTCACTGAATCATCATATCAAAGGGATGTCTTTGGAGTGTCTAAAAACAAAAAAACTCAAACTCTACTTTTCTATGGGTGTGGTGAATTTTATAAAAATGTTCTGCCTTCAAGCTTTCAATACCCTGTTTAAACAAAACTGAGTTGCCCTGAAATAGCAGCAGTTTTTTTTTTCAATCAACATCAACCGGCAATTATCTACTTGAGCCATGAAGGTTTAATCTTTAAAAAGTTCCTGAGGTGGTTTCTGTGAATACACGCACAATGAGCTCTTTTACAACAGCTCTTAAGACCTTTAAATCAAAATGCCAATCAGCTTCTGCATAACCATCCATATAATGCATAACTGCTGCAGCCTTAGTGCAAATCTGCATAAAGCAACAGGCTCACCCTGCATAGACCACAGCAGCAGAAAAAAGCCCCAAACTCCAGACTCAGAGTAAAGTGATTTAAAGAGTCTGTTTCTCAAACAGGTGTTAATTAGCTGCTTGCTGGAGGAGGGGTGATGACTCTCATTTCATTTCATTTCAAACCTTTATTTAACCAGATTGGTCCCATTGAGATCATAGATATCTTTTTCAAGGGAGACCTGCAGCATATAGGTTCCACATGAAACATAAAACAATAAAGGACATCATACATTATAAGACTCTGATGAGAGTTTATACCCTGCTTTTACTTTATTTATTTCTCAGTCAGAAGATTTTTGCAGAACAGTAAATCAGAAGCTCATTCTTCCCCCCTTACATAAGAGTCACCATGCAGCTTACAGCCGAATTAAGCAAATTCTTTCCTTGGGCATGCTAAAACTTTGTATTTAGCCTACGTGGTAGATTCTCCTGTTTAAACACCATGTCAACCGAACAAAAGGATGCTGGCACCTCTGTGCCGCGGAGTGCCAAGTCTCTGCATCCTCTCGTGATGGCCCCGGGACACTGATCTGCTTCTGCCTGGGTGAAGAGCTGGGTGCCTGAAGTGGGACGGGCAAAGAGGGGAAGCTCTGGCCCCGTCCCGTCCTCCACTTTTAATGAGCTCTCCGATCATGCAGGAGTAAAAGTCCAGGTGGAACAGTTCAGCGCTCGCTCACACGCCTGCTGGTCCTAATTTGCTTTTTCAATGAACGCGTAAAAGGAAAAGTGCGCAGGGAATTACTTTACGCCTTCAGGACTATTTTATCTTCCCAGGTAAGTTAACCTTTATTGCTTTACAGAGATGAGAACTTTTAACAGAAAGCTACAATTATTTTCCATATGAACAGGGGAGTTTGTGTTTGCTGCGTGGCGTGAATTAATTTAATTATTATTTAAAAAATCGCGCGTAATTGATATGCATTGCGTCTAATGACATCTTATGTTTGGATAATCAAGTCTGTAAGGAATGTTAAACAACACCACACGGATTACTTGCGTATTTAGTTCATCCTTTTTTTGAAAAACAATTTATGACTCTGTTCAGCCGGGCTTGTGGGGTTTGACAGGCTGCCCAAGCGTGCTTAAAGTCAGTGCTTGTTACTCTCTGTTTATTTGTCTTAACCTTTTTTTAGTAAACACCTCTTCCTCTTTACTCAAGTGGGGGTTTTAGCTGAATGAATTCAGCCATTTCATGGTCATTCATACTGTAGCAGCCTACTATAAAATATGTGTAAAATGATCCAGCTATTATGTATTTACATTTCTATCCGGCTGGCCCAAGCCTTTATTTTGAAATGACTCATTTTGCAAGTATTATAATCAACAAACCCCAAGAGTGCGCTCTTCAGATTTTATTTTTATTTCTTGCACATTATGTTTGACATTTCTCTTTGTATTCCTTCTGACATGTCTGATTAAGCACAGGTGGTCTTGATACATCATGTCCAGCAGCAGACAGGCTGTGGCTTGCACTCAAGCCTGTGCCAAGAATTAAAGTAATTCAGCCTGTTCTGTGCTTAATAAACAAATATTGTCCCAGCAGCAGCCCACAAGTCCACAGAGATGACTTTGTAGAGACATGTTGGTTAGTTGGCTTGTTGCTACAACACTTGGCACACCTAATATGCTTACAGTACACTTTTGACACCTGTGAATGCTGGGATTGAACACTCCCTGGCACTAGGTGTGTGTAAATACTGTCTCATGCCATCACTCAGAAACACTGTGAAACCAAGTTGTTGGCGGGTCATGATACTCAAATAAGCCCCAGTCCCCTTGTTGCCTTCAGACCGGCCAACACAGGCTGGGAGTGCTGCTAAAACAGGAACAGATTTAAATACAGTCCATGTGTTTGGCATGGAGCTGTGTGGCCCTAAAGTTCACTGTAAAGGTGCATTATCAGGGCTTATCAAAAACACTTTTAAGACATGTGTGTGGTCTGCCCAAGCTTTGAGAACCCATTGTGAGCCGGCGTTTTTAATGGCTACCGTACATCCTGTTTGCATTAAAGCCATTGTATACCTGTTATACAGCTGCCAGGTGTGATTTTCATCCTGCATCATTATTTGCCTGCAGGAGCTGAAAATGCAATTTTCACTGCAACGGCTTGGCCTTGTAATCTTAGTGTTTTCTGCATGTAATCCACATTGTAGAATGTTATTTTGCAGTGAATTGCGCTTTAATTCCTCAAAATATGTGACCCGTCTGAGCTCCTGGGTTTGAAAGGGACTGAGGCCCCTAGACAGAAGCTTTCATCTCTTGCAGTGGCTTGGGAAATTACTTTGCTTACTTTTTGGATGGCTTCTCATAGTTTGTTTGATGTGTGTCCCCGCCTAGCACAAAGGAGATCTGCAGTAGATCTGTTTGGTGAAAGGCCAGCAGAAGCTGTGCTCAACCAACGCCTTATCTGAAGTTCAGGACAGGTGTATGCAAGATATACAACCCGACACAATATGTAACCCACCCTGTTGGTGATTTATGGGGGTGGTAAGCGGTGGTCTGAAAGCCCTCACATGCAGTCTCCAAAGCTGTCTGAGCAGATCTCGTGCTTTATTAGTTGTTTATATCCTTTAGTTGAACTTGTGTTAGTGTGTGTGTGTGTGTGTGTGTGTGTGTGTGTGTGTGTGTGTGTGTGTGTGTGTGTGTGTGTGTGTGTGTGTGTGTGTGTGTGTGTGTGTGTGTGTGTGTGTGTGTGGGTGTGTGTGTGTGTGTGTGTGTGTGTGTGTGTGTGTGTGTGTGTGTGTGTGTGTGTGTGTGTGTGTGTGTGTGTGTGTGTGTGTGTGTGTGTGTGTGTGAGATTGTGTCTCCCCAGGATCTATTATCTACTCTGTACAGGAAACTCCCTGCGGTGTTTGTCAAAGGATATCATTTGCCCCACGTTTCACTGTTTGGAGAAGGAGGCATTTAGAGGCTCACACTGAGAACACACATTAAGAGGTCTCAAATCATTGTCATTTTTTCATTTTGTCCTACAATGATGTCATCAAAGGACTTTTCAAAGGAACAAGTCACTGAACAGAAATCTTCTTTAGGAGCAGCTCTACATTGGGGAAGAGGTGTTGACGGTCTAGGTTTCGGCGCAGGTGTATGACAGACCAGTTTTGTATTTTTCATTTTCCAGTGAAGCGCGCTGACTCACCTCTATGCTGCAGGTCTGTCTCCTTAACTGTAGATGAAGCATATCTGTCCCAGCTTGTTCCCGGCCTCAGCTATCTTTCCCCGCGAGGACAAATTGTAGTCCTGACTGTGCAGCAAGGTTCCATCTGCCTGTCAAAGCACAACACTGTGGAAAAATCATGTCAGTGCTCATGAATGTCAGATAAAAATGTAGAGCTGCATCAGGGAAATTCCTATCACTGCCAACTGCAGCTGGATTCATTTGAATTTAACATGATATGTTATGTTACCTCATTACACTGCTCACTCATGTTTACTTCAAACCAATGAAATGAAAATCCAGCACTAAATGCGTTTGGGCGACAGTTGGTGATTCACGCTCGAGTTTTGAATGTATTTTTCAGTATTTATGGAAATGCACTTATTCACTTTCTTGCAGAGAGTAAAATAAAGAGATTAATATTAAGCTGAGTTACAGCTACAGTTACAATAGTAAAAGCAGCCAACAGCTAACCTGGCTGCGTCTCAAGGTTATAAATCATAAAGGTTAATACTTTTAAAAAAAACGTGTTTTAATTAGTATACAAAGTGTAAACCCAACATGTTGTAGTATTATGAGGGTTACATCGCAGAATTTCTTGGCTAGAAATGGTGAATTCCTGAGGTCCTGTAGTTTGCAGTAAGTCAAGGGTAAACTCTAGTCACTCTCATCTTTATCTCTTTATCCTTGGCCTATGTTAAAATAAAACCGGTCTACATTTGTTGGCACATGGCTAATTCAAATGCAGAATGACGTCACTTGACCTGCCTAATGCTTTTTATGGCAAAAGCATGAACCAAACTCTGCCTCTGATTGGCTACTACTTCTTGGCTTAGTTATTTGTGTTAGTTAAGTTTGGGTATGAGGACTAAGATTAGTTAGGATTAGAGTCAAAATATCAGAATGCCAATTTAAAGCAGAGTAGGGTGCGGAATTACCTATGCCATATGCCAAAAATGTTGCTAGCAAGATCCAATATGGTGGTTAGCCATGCAGTAATGTTTGTTGCTGTGGGACTTAATGTTTCCGGAGAACATAGACGTAGGTCATGACTCACGTAGGTCATTGGGCCAGGCCAAGTGACAGCTCAGCACTTAAAACTTACTATTTTACATCTCAGAACTATTAAAATTAGATATAAAGTTTTTTTTTGTAAGAATAAGAGAAGCAGTTCCCAGTCTTGCTAGGCTAATTGGTTGCTAGCTTTAGCTTTATTTTTAGCATTCAGACAGTGTTTTGCAGAATTGAATATTGAAAAATTATAAAATGTTTCTGTCAAAGCCTACTTTGTGCTCTAATGAGTGATTGACTGATATTATTTGATGAATTACATATGGGAATACTATGTACAACTCTGAACTCGAGTAGATACAATCATCATGGATACAAAAAATCAATAAAGCCAATGACGTTTTGCCTTTAAAAAAATAAAAATCGTACTTATCTAGGCATAACTTTGCTAGAGTGACAGGTGAATCTTAACACTGCGTTTTCCGCAGTAATACTTTGTTTTGCTAACAGTTTGAACTGCATCACAGCTGACCCTGCTTCAGAGGTCGCTGTATGATTACATGTTCACCACTTGATCAGATTGAACCTGCCGGTGTGTGGCGGCAGTGACAGACGGGAGGTTCAGCATTCCTCTTGTACCACCGAGCGTCAGTCATCACTTCTCCAAGGGGAGCTCCATCCCATCACTGTGGTGCGGAGCATGGACTGGTGTTCTAATGATAGTTAATCTGCCAGCCAGTGTAAGACTTTCTCTGACCCTGTGTCTTTGTTCAGACTATCTGTTGTATCACTATTATTACTACAACATTCCAACTCCTGTTTTTGCCTTCTAATTTCATCATACCTTTTGATTTGGAATGACAGACCTTTTCTGTGTCTGCTGTAAACATACTGTAGTTCAGACTGGGACCCAGCTTCATGTGGTTGTTAGAGTCAAACAAAGAAGCCATCTGATTGAACACAGCTCTCCATTCCTTATACATTAAATTGGGTCTGTGTGTGCTCTCTAATTGAGTCTGACTCCATAGATAGAGATCTTGCTTACTGCTTTGTCTCAGCCCAGATGTTCGCTGTGAAGCTTCTGACTGGCAAATACTTTCAGCCTTTTGTAACCCAGATAATTAGAACAAGAGGTTTTGCTGAAATATAATCCATATTTGATTTATGTGAGTTACAATAAATGTTTTCAAAATTCTTTACGGATGCTGGATGACTCATTCAGCTCTGTGTGTAGTTACAGTCTGAAGTCTGTCTGCTATATATCAACAAATCTCTGGAAAGTATACCACAGTGGCACAAGTTGACTCTGTCTAGTTTCCAGCTGACACTACAACGCTTTCACATTCAGACATGTTGAGCAAAGTGTCAAAAGTTACTTTTAGTGAGAAAGCAGGAAATGAGTTTGAGGGGTGAACAGTGAAATTCTGCAGCTTCTCCTCTCTCTCCAAGGTTGGGAGGTTAGAAGAGGACATCTGGTAGACCTGCTGAACCGGCACACCACCCATCATGATCAGAGCATCCCTCACTGCCATCTGCCTGGGTGAGCAACCTGGCTCTCTCTCTGCAGGAGTACAGCTGGTTTTGAATGTATCATCCTCCATTATAATGTTTCATATTTCCCAAAAAACTCCCTTATCTTTCCGCACATTCACATCATCAAACAGCACCACCCCCTGAGAGGTCTTGTGTGTACAGTAAACACACAGATAATTATGATACTTTGTCTGCTATTATGTGAAACTCCCTCTGCCTCACCCGCAGCGCTCCTGCTGTCCTGTGCTTGCTGGGCCAAGCCTAACGGATCAAAGAACAAGAAGCCAAAGCAAGGTAGACATGATCAACAAGTATTCCTGTAATCTCCGTCAGTGCCAGTGTTATTGTCTCCACTGCTGTCTCTTTACTAACTAACTAATTCTTCAAATAACTTCAATGTATTATAGACATACAGTAACTATCCCATAATTCAAATAAATGATGAACAAAGTGTTACAAATTTAAATCTCCAAATGTCTGACTTAAAAATCTCAGAGAATATTCTATTTTTCTTGTTGATTAACCGCTCTACACTTTTCCTAAACGTACAAATTAACTCAATTTATTATCCTGAATATTACTTTCCTCACCTGAAAAAAAAATCTATATTTGTTTCCTACAATGGCCCAATAGACCTTTATATGGTTCATATTTTAGCTTGAAGAATTATTTGATTACCAACACAGTGTCAGATATGCTTCTGGCAATTCAATAATCAATGAATTGACCAATTATTTTAGATCTAATTACATTTTGGTCAAAACAATCGTATATGTTACCTCAACAATTATGACCCATCTTATAGTTTGTCCTCAACCATCTTCTTCTACTTCCTCCACAGTTGTTCCAGACATAGAGTGCGATGTCAGAGCGGGAAAGATCAATCTCCCAGAGTTCATAGCCAAATGTCCTGCTCACTGTAAGGAGACAAAGCAGCAAGTCTATGGGACCGGCGTGTTCGCCTCCATCTCCAGCATCTGCAATGCAGCCATCCACAGGTTAACAGCAGATTTATAATAGTGAAGCAATAAAGATACCTTTATGTTTTTTGTTACATCTGATAACTAGTTTTGTGTCTACAGTGGCGTCATCACTAACACAGGAGGGAAGGTGATAGTGAGGAAGATGGCCGGGCAGAACCTCTACAAAGGCAGCAACTCCAATGGGGTTCGCTCTCTGTCTCTACCTAAGTGGAGGGAGTCGTTCGTGGTCTCAGGTATTATTGGTGAAGCAAACAATGTCAAACACATTTCTTTTTCACTCAAACCCACAGCTGACTTGATTGTGTTTCAGTGGGGAAGCCCAAGAAAGGAGTGATCTACCCATCTACTCTGGACTACGTGCCCTCAAGACCGACCTACGTGAAAACAAGTGAGAGAAGGGTTATTTTTACACTTGCAACAAGATTCTCTTACAAGAATAGGTGCAAAACATTTCGCTTGTTATTGAGTGGATTAATTGTTCGCTGGTGTTTTACAATGACATTTTTAATAGGACAAAGTTAATCTCTTAAGGGAACTTGACAAGATTTCTGTATCGGCAGAGTTTGAAGTATGAGTTGTACTGACCAATAAAATATGAGCAGGCTTTGGTTGCATGCATGTGAACAGTCTGTGTGTAGTCAAAAAGGGCACAATGCATAGGCAGAAATGCAATTTGGAAACCTTTCTGTTAGGGCTGTGCAATTAATCGTATTTTAATCGCAATTACGATTTTGGCCTGCCACAATTACGAAAACAACATCATCGAAAAAAACGATTATTTTGCATTTGCGTATTTTATTTATTTTTGTATTGGTTTTTCAGTTGAATTATACGTTCAGGGTAATCAACAGTTAAAAAGATACTGTTCAAATTATTATTTGTATTTGTTTTAAAGTTCAATAAATGGATGTTTTCAAAGTCAATGAATAATCGTATTTAATAATCGTGATATCAATTATTGACAAAAATAATCGTGATTATGATTTTTGCCATAATCGCACAGCCCTACTATCTGTCATGCAATGATTTAGCTTCACGTGGCAAAATATGTCTAGATATGTTTGTTAAAACTAAGAGAAATATAGATAAAATGTCTGAGGGTTTCTAGATTAGATTTAGATGACATATAACCACTATGAAGTGTCAAACGACATTTAAAATATTTCACTTTTCAAACAGTTTTTGCCCAGTTTTGAACACGATTATGTCTTAGATTTAAAATAAGTGCGTTCCGGAGAGCAAAGTTTATGACGCAGACATCCCTGCTTTCGAGTCTGACATGTTGAACTTCGCTCTTGTTGAATGAGTAGTTGGAGTCCATTGAAAAATGTCAAGAATGCTTTACGACAAAGTTGTGACTGTCCTCCTCCCTATCCATCAGTCTTGTACAGGACCGCCTTCATAATCTATAGTCTCCTTTCAGGTCAAAAGGAGGCCAAATCGCCTGCGGTCACCACAGTGCTTCCTACAACAACAACACCTGAACCCACCACAACTACAACACCTGAACCCACCACCACCACTCTGGCTCCCACCACCACCACAACTGTGCCTCCACCACCACCCACTACTTCCAAGCCTCGGGCTGCTGTCCATAAAGTCAGGGATGCAGGTGATTTAACTGCACTTACATCATTGTTTTAACGCTTTTTGTTGCATACATACATGTACAAAAAGTGAATTCATTCACCTAAATCAATGGATCTATGTATGCTATGTGCAGGATTGTGTATTTACTTGGATGCAGGATGCTGTTAATGATCCAATAATACCGGTCCGCACAGACGATCCACTGCAGCAGCGCCCCGCCTAGCTGACGTCTCCCTAACATTAGCTGCTTGTAGCTAGAAATGCTTGTTTGCAAGAACAAGCTTTCATTTGTGTGAAAGTGAATGATGAAGACAAATGATTGCAGCGGGTAATTACAAGTCACAACTGCAATCATGACAAATTGCAGCTGGTCTGTAAAAGTAGCACGCTGCAGCTCCGTTGCTTGACTGACTTCACTGTACACTTGATCATTGGAGCCTTCATTGCTCTTATTATATTAAAACATTATCAGAGAGTAATCACTGCGAGTCATCCGCCCTGTTTTGGATAGAAATGCGGCTAAAGAGAGCAGACAATACTGCAATATCTTAAGGTATGTGTGTAAATTAGATGGGCGGTGTGCCAGACAACCTCCCGACCGTCTCTTTCTCCTTCATTTTCTGTAACATTATCTCTCTGCTCTCCATTATTGGGACCCCATTTGTCTTTGTTCTATCCAGGCAGCAGTCACCCATACCTTGCCTCTGTGGCAACCGCAGGTTCAAGTAAGTGGAGCAAAGCACAGAAGGGTGGCACGGGGTGTTGTAAGGGTTGTTTATTTACACTGGGATGTATGCCGAAATATGTGTTATCTCATGAAGCATGCAGTCATCGGGGAATAGTGTAATCTTAAAAGTGCACTTAAACTTTAGCTAAATCACTTTAGCTTTCTTTTGTCAAGACATGTATTGCAGCACAGATGGGACACACCTTTTTTTAGTGATCATCTTTTTCAGGGGAAAACTAAATGTCTTATATAAGCTAATAATGAGGATATTAATTATCATCCCGATAATGGAAAATGACCACGATGAACTGAGTGCAAGCTTTTTTTTATTTTGATCCGCAATTTATCCAATATCGTCCCATCCCTATTGTGTACTAAGGGTATCAGTGGTCTTGCTTTCAAAACAAGTTTGTCATTATCTAAGGTCCAACTTGTGTATTTAAAATTGGAAATCGTTTCAGTTGACTTTCAAGCCATAAAAGTGTAAACAGGCCTGGGTGATAAAGATATGCTTAACCCTAAACTATGTTGTATTTACATTACAATTGTGTTGTCTAAATTCGCCCATGCTCATCACTGGGATAGGACAGTCACAGAATGCTCAAGGAAAGATTCCCAGCCAAGGTATGTTGATACTCACTTCTCTTGGAAAGTCCTTTACACCAGCTATAATACTTGAACTAAACCGTGGCATTTCTCCAAAGTATTCAGAGGAGCTGCCTATCCCAATAGATTCCCACAACGTACCAGTGCAGGTAAAAACAACTTTAATCATCATGATGTGTCTTTTTTCATTCTACCTTCACCAGGGATTGTCTTCACTCCACTCCTCCAGTGGCTCTTTGCTCTATCTTTGTGCTGATATCTGTAAACCCTGCATGGCATCTCTGTTCTGTATTTAAACAGATGCTTTTAAATACTTGTACTAGTCTTTTAACCCTGGGCTGGACCAGATGTTCAGAAGAAGCCCAACTTCCATTCTAATTATATTAAGGTTCATGTAATAAGGGTAAAACAGCTCTCAAGATTCTTTTTAAGATGCTAAGTAACATTATTATCTTTTGATAATGTTAAAAAGCATTTAAAACCTATTATAACTGTTTATTGTTCAATTATAAATCATTGATAAGCACTTAAAGACTGCTTAAGAACATTAATACAATGAAATACAAGTTTCATATAATAGTTAATAATAGCAATACAAACACATGTATTACCTTATGTGATTATTACACCTTTACTTATTTATTTTTTAATTATGCATTTATTAGCAGTTAACCATGCACTTATTCAACTGTGCTTTTTGCAACTACCCAACTAAAACACTAGATGTGGTAAGATAGATAAATGTGAATATAAATATTACATATAAATACAATAGTTTTGCTATGAAGCACAATGTTCGCTATAGTCAATAAATGTGTTTGTAATGCTTTGTAATGCATAATAATGTTACAAGGCATAATTACCTTATTACAAGGAACCTTATGTAAAGCATTACCCTGTTCTGTTGTGTTTCAAAGTCGAGATGTTTAACCTTTACCATGTTCAATAGCAATGCGCATAGAAAAGTAAGAATGTGTTTTCATGTTGTCTCGTAACACAGTTGTCTCACCCTCTCGGCCCCAGGTCTGCGCAGACCAGACGCAGGTTCAGCTATCAGGAGACAACCCTCCTCTCCAGTTGGCCCAGGTCTGCCTCTTCATTAACACACACACACACACACACACACACACACACACACACACACACACACACACACACACACACACACACACACACACACACACACACACACACACACACACACACACACACACACACACACACACACACACACACACACACACACACACACACATTCAACAAGACATGGCGGGAATGTGGGCCAAGGGCAGCACAGGGGACAGATGTCTTTTTGCGAACAAGAATCCAGGAGACGTGGGCCGCTGTAAGTCTGACCCTCGTATCCACACCCATAAGCCCCTGTGATCTTCACCCCGGGGTCAACACTAATCCACTCCATCAGGCATCTCAGCTAACATTCCTTCCACGATAACTGCTGTTCTCTGTCATCGGGTACATCCTCTTATACGTGTTTTCATTTTCCAAGATGAAAAGAGGCAAATGAAGGCCTGTAAACGCACCCAGCATATATCCTTTCGTTTTTGATATCATGCTGCGAGAAAATGCTTTCACTTGAAGAGAAACAGCTGTGCTGCATTTGTGGATGGAGCCACCCGAACTGAAGTTTTCTTCTGCCCCCCCCCCCTCTCCCTTCTTTTCCTCTTTTATTCTATCTGCCTGTTTTTCATTGCTACAAACAGCTTTTAACAGGGTTCAGCCGGCTCCACCCGAGCGGACTCCAACCATGAGCCAGTCAAACCCCGGTAAGTCTCTCCAGACGCTGAGCGGGAGTTCACGCAATGCACCATTAGACACACTCACTGATATAAAGTATCAAGAGGTTTGATCAAACAGGGAAACACCTAGAACAACAAAACCTCAGACAAAATATTGCATAAAGCAGCACTAATGTTTTCCCTCTGCGATGCTGTGGTTCAATGGGCGGCCCATGGACGGATTTATGAGGGGTACTACCAAGGACAGGTCCTGTGGGCCGCCTTGCAAAGTATCACTGAAAGAGAAAGAGACATGCACAAAACAGGAAGTTACTAAAAATGACCACAAAGAGACACAAGTCAGATGTTTTATCACTGTCCTGATTTCATCCTGTGTCGAATCCCCACTGTCCTGAGCAAACGCTTCAATAAAACAACAATGAGAATGGTGATCTGTCAGTACAGTAATAACATCTTATGACAGATCCCATCTGGAATGGTCTTTTCCCTTAGCTTTTTAAAGCCTGCAGAGAGGAAGAGAGAGGTGAAAGCAGCAGCATCCAGTGGCCCGGTGCTTCTCCCAGAGAGGCACATGAACCCATCCACCGTGCTGCAGGATCTGGATCCTCTCTCCAGCCTGTCAGGAATAGAAAGCTCTAGACGGTCAAACCAGCCTGGGTTTGGCTCCCTGAAGAATGCTCTTCTGTTTTGGCTTCTGTGGAATGCAAAACCATAGATCCCTAAAATTAGATGGAGCCATATCCGTTTAAATTGTGCTTGATTGTATGATATGATTCCTAAAATGCAGTGTGAGCTGTTTTAAGCCGGGCATCATTGTCTGTTTATGCTGAGAGAGAGTGTCTGACCGGTGCACAGAGCAGCTATTCAGATAGGTAGCTTGTGGATAACTAGTGATACTTTATTTAACCCCTTAGGGAAATTCTTTAAGCTCAAGGTCAGAAGTCAGAGGTAAGGATCAGCTACACAGCGCCCCTGGAGCCAGAAGGGATTCAGACTCTTTCTCAAGGACACTCCAGCAGGGTGGATGTTTGCCGGCTTTGGAGTTTATGAGTTTAACGGTTTACTCCCGAGTCGATTTGCCAACCGGCTGCTCTACACAGATGTTTGCATTTATTGCTTAGCATTCTGGATACATTACGACGCAGTTAAGACTCACACTTGTAATGAGATATGCCCACTTGACAGCCAAAATAATTAATGAAAAAACCTCTGTAAAACATCTCAAGACTCTGGTTGTTGGTGTTAAAATGCAACACTTTCCATGACCCCGTGTTTATAAATTGTTATAAAAATGCACTGTATAATTATAGTAAAAAGCATTAAAAAAAAATGATAATGCTTTATAACAAAATGATTACAAATGATGACACATTTTATTATTACTTATAAGGTTAAGTATTACGGCTGTTACCTCATTGTCATTGTTATGCCTTCACACAGCGATGGCCATGGTGGGGGAATTATGTTTTTGGGTTGTACCTACGTCACATTCAAATAATTGCGGCCTTTACATTTTGGCACAAACAAAACAAAAGACAAAGGTGAGAAGTTAAGATCACAGCAACCTCACAAAACACATTTTTGTTTAAATTTCACGTTGTATACACTAGGACCATTTCACACTAATGTCTAACACGATAAAACGTTTTGGACAGACATGGTTGTAAAGTGCAACCTCGCTGGTTGTTTGAGGCCTACAGCCTCACAATAGTAATGCTAGTTTTTTGCAATATTTACAGTGGATTCTTTACAGTAGGTGAATTGAACTAAACATTTACATTTCTGAAATGACAATGAGCGTTATGAATATTGCTTATAACTGAGCAACAACCTGAGGTGAGGGTCAGTATCCCGATCCCAGGGCCGCCCCTCCCTACAGGCCGATCACGCAGATTGCGTGGGGCCTCACCTCGCGGAGGGGGCCTCATCTTGCGGAGGGTTCTTCATTTTGCGGAGGGAGCATCATCTGAAGCGCAAATGGGGCGCACCTACAGTGTAAGCGCGCCACAGTTTCATCGCTGCGAGGCTCCACTAGCACCATCCCGTCCCGTCGACGCTCGCGACACAGAGGGCCTCATCATATAACTTTGCGTGGGGCCACAAGTTGGCCAGGGGCGGCCCTGCCCGATCCTCCTCTGAACTTCTGACCGCAGTGACCACTGAAGTGGCCATGATCAGAAGAGATTTAAACTCAATCCTTTTAAAGCACCTGTTTCATTAGAAAAAACAACACCACTGTCTGCTGTAGAGCGCTCAGCCTTTGACCAGCCACAGATTAGGCTAATCTCTGCGTCCCCACTATCTACACTGTCCCTAGTTTGACACCAACTTTAGAATAATACTCCCACGCTTCGCTGGGCTCTTTCTAGCTGCTATTGGATGGGAACCTCAGAACCCAGGCCGTGTGTTTGTGTAAGGTACCCATCCACCGCAGGGAGGGGTTTACTGAAGTGTGTGTCATGGCTCGGCCAGTTTAGATAGATGCATGCAGTGTTTTTGTTTCGCTCAGCGGTTAGGGCTTCTAGTGTTCAATCATATTTGATTAATCTCAGGCCATGCAAGAGTCAGGTCAAGTATACTCCCTGATGCTTTTGCCATGTAACAATTGTGTCTGTCGACCAATTGTCATGCCAAAAGCAGCAGGTACAAAACTGAAAAATTAGAAACACATGGGGCTTCCTGTGTCTTTCAGGAAGAGTATGTCTTCACTAAAACATCCTTTAGCCGCTCAGTCACTGTCTGTCTAAGGGACTAATGTATGATTAGTGTCTGACTCAAGGCTGAACATCTTGTGCATACCCCACGAATAACGTTAGTGGAGGTCACAAGTATGCTCCTCCTTGCTGCTTGTCCTACAGTTTTCTAATCTTCCTCTGCACAGCTTTTCCCAAAAGGGATTGGGCACCTCCCTCCTTTCCTCGTCCTGATTGGTTCCCTGCAGCTCGACGACCAGCAGGTACCAAATACAAAATAGATCATCCTTCTTTGAACATTTCATTTGTTTATTCTTATACAAATGTAAACGTTTTATTTCTTTTTAAACTGACTAAAGTAATGGTATGGCTGCAATCTTTAAGATTAACTTAGGTTTTAATTTATGAATCTGGTGCTAACTATGTGGCCTTTGAAAATTGATTGATAAAGCTCCCAATAAAGTCAAGAACAATTTTGGAAGAATTTGTATTGTCTCACAGCCTACTCTATGGTGAGTAGGCTGTGAAATAAACTGGAATCGAGCTACTTTAAGTCAATTGTATTCAGACAATAGCCAATGGGTACTGATCATTTTGGCCAATGTGTTTAGCCTCTTTTGCTCTCCACACAACCTGCTCCACATGGACTGTTTCAATGTATGCAACCCAAAGCCTACTAAAATGTTATAGGGTTATACTACTCAGACTACAGAGGGCAACCAGAACGACCAACGCTACCAAAATATTGTCCTTTGTACATGCTAGCTACTCTTTCTAAATGCTACCGTCAGCATGCTAACATGTTCACAACATGAATGTATTAAGAAAAAGAGAAGATTTTCTCATTGTAATACATCCATCTTTTACAAGGACATTGCTAACATGTAGGTAAAATGTTAACCATGTTCACCATACCAGTTTACCATGCTAACATTTGCTAAAACGCACTAAATACAATGCAGCAGAGGCTAATTGGTGTATCATTAGTGTTACCATTGTAGTTGCTGATACCAGCACCTTCTCTGCTGTACATTCAGATGTTAGTTATGCAGCTCCAGACTCAGGATACACATGGAGTGAGACGGATACACCTGAGATTACAGGTAAGATCAAGTCTAACATTACGGTTTGATGTGTAGCCTACTGCCCCCCTTCATAGTGGCAGGCCACTACACCTTGTAACCGTTTATGTTGCATGTGCAAACATGGCATGCTAGTGTGACTGATAGAGGGAGGTATCTGCTGACCATGTATGTGTTGAATTGGCTCCAGCTGTAAGTACATGCAATGTGTCTCTCAGGACATTGTGTTTGCCATCTGCCTGCCATATGAGAGATTCCTGTGAAGTGTGGAAAATAAGATCATAGGGCAGGTTTATTCTTAGTGCATGTGAGAATGAGACGCTGTGAGTGATAATTCTGCACAAAGCCGATGTTTTCAATGGTATGGGATTGGTTGGGGAAACTATGACCAATCTCAACCATGGAAATGTGTGCTTTTCCCTCTGAAGTTTTTTGTGGGAATACTAACGGGTTTCACAACATCCTCCTCTAGCTCGGGATCACAGGCCTGATTTCTCAGAATATGAACGCTGGTTTTATAACTTTGGACCGTACCGTAAGTGTTTTTCTATTCTAATTTGGAACTAACAATTCTTTGGGTTCAGGTTTTTACATTGTTATATGTTTGGATGGTGTTTTTCTAAGTCTCTCTCATCATGTTCCATTTTATTTTTCTCAGGACTTCTACATAAGCCATGTGAGAAAAACACAAATTCTGGGGATCCATTTTTATCAGTCAGATCTAAATGGTTTTCTCACCTGTTTATGACTTAAAAACAGGTGAAAAAAAGGTTTTGTCATAATAATCGTTGTAGTTTCCAGAATTAATCTTCCATCTCAAAATAAATAGGGGGTACAACCAGATGATCTAGATCATTTTTTGGCCACAATGGGCTAAAGTGAGCAATGTACGTATATGTGTATTAACAATTGTGTGCAACACTCCCACCCCCACCTGTTTCACAGATTATATATTTTTACCCATTCTTAAGTCATAACCAAAGGTGAAAATGATTTACATCAGACTTGGAAAATGGATCACCAGATTGTTTTTCTCTCACTTGCTTCTCATTACTTCGATATATGTATTTGTTGTTCCATTTAGTGTTTATATAAAATGTCTTCTGTTATTGCCTTTTTTACTCATCTAACTGTCACAGGAGCAAGAAAGTGAATTATGTAATGCAAAATGCAAAAACTATTCCTTTAAGTTCTTAGAAAGGTAAGCACATTTGATTTGTTTTTAGTCACAGTCTTAACACTACAAAACGTGAAACCACTTACAATATGGCACATTGACAAGACACAAGAAAGCATGCAGAAAGCCCTCACTTTCAGATTATAGGCCATGGTTCCATCTGTTTGATGATACAGCAGACGTCCAAATCTAAATAAGTAGAAGGGACATGGTTTTGGAAAACTGAGTGGCACCACAATCCAACCAAATGAAACCTGGGGCTGATAGGCGCAGGCTGTAACACTTTGGTGTGTTTACATGTGTTTGTTTCACAGTCTGTCAGCACTAACATAACATGTCTTTACTTTTAGTGCCTCGCACCCCAGAATCAGATGGCAACCGTAGAGTGCCATTGGATACAACCCATACTAGAGGTGAGCATTGGTTAATGTGGCGTCAAAACAGCTGTTTGTATCCAGGAAAAATTGTATAACTCATGTTGTATCTATAAAGCAATACTAATTCCTAACTGCTGCTGCTATAGCCTTCTAATAATGAGTAGAGCTTTAAAAAAAATTCAATATTTTCCATTTCATGGGAAATAAATCAACTTTTTTCTGTAGCTATCATGGTGAGTGTTTTTGTGGTAGAGTGCTAATGCTGAGCTTCTATGATATCATCTGTGCAGTGGAGCCAGTGGATGCCTGGAAGCCTGATGCTAATCCTTATGAATCAGGTGAGATAGCTTGCACTTTTCCCCCAAAAGAGTCATCTTGCCAGTAAATACTCGTTTGGACTGTAAGTACAAACCAAACCGAGGCTATCCAAGGAAATATAGGTTTCTGCACAGCCTGTAATTTAAAGGTTTTGGATTTGGAGTCAATGGCACGGTTGCTTGAGGATAAAACCAGTTCCTGTTTGGCATAACTCTTGCCACCGCAAATACTGGATAACTTTTGGGTTCTCTCAAAAGAGAATGGCTGCAATTTTGCCGCATTCAATGAAAATGCAACAAACAAACCTTCATGCTAATTCTGCAAAAGCTTTGTATTGCAAAAGAAAAGATCAAAAAGTAGATCACTGCTTTTAAAATGTGTGTTTCTTGGATTTGCAGGCTTTACCGTGAGGGAACAGGAACCTGTACCTAGAGCACCTGAGCCTGTGCCTGTGTCACAAGGAGATCCAGGTATGTACCTCAAATTATTATTCTGCCACCAGTGGTAAAAAATGTCACAAGGTGCCTCTAATGTCTGTCACATTGACTGTTTTGCTAGCGTTGCTTTTGCGTCCAAGTTTCAAATGTCAAACATTTACCTAAAAGGAAAAGTATTACCAAACACAATATTGTGTTTACTGTTGCAACCCTGAGATGTGTCCTCTTTTCGTAGATTGTAAAGTGGACCTGGTCTTCCTGATGGATGGAAGCTGGAGTATTGGGAAGAGGCGCTTTAAGATCCAGAAGGACTTCCTGTCTGAGGTGGCTCAGACCATCAACGTGGGTGTGGCCGGACCCATGATGGGCCTCATCCAATACGGGTAACCTCACTGTTCCTGTTGTGATGCTATCGGCCATTTTTTCGTTAAGAAAACATTATGCTAATGATTTTTCTTTGTCTAAAGGGATGACCCTGTGACAGAGATCAGTCTGAAGTCTTACTCCAACTCCAGAGAGGTGAAGTCTGCCATAGCAAAGATTGGGCAGAAGGGAGGCCTCTCCAATGTAGGTGAGCGACCCGCTGCTGGCTGCCAGATACATTAAATGCCTATAAACTAAAGTGTGAAAGTGAAAAGAGGCTCAATTATCGCATGGTTAACAAGCGAGGTACACTTTCACATGCAAGGATATAATTAAATCTAAATCTGCTGCAAGACACTGCTGGGTAAATTATAGTCCTTCTTCCTGTAAGTCGTGTTTCCCCCCCCGCTCTGACCAGAAAGCAGTTGGTTTTACCAGCACATAGGGGTCAGTTTTAAGAGGAAACGTGCTGTTTTTCTGCCGGGTTAGTGCGTCAGCATGCATCCAATACCACATGTGTCTTTATGACTTGCTAAATGTTGCATTGACGTACAATAGTGTTGTTTGTGTTTGCCCAAAAGTGCTCTCTAATCATACAACAGTGCGAGTGGTTGTAAAAGCTTCTCCCCAATAGTGCCTCTCCTGTTTTGCCATCGTTTAGACCACCAAGACTAAATGATAGGATATCACTATTTTTGTGACGGTATACCGTTAAAGCTATGCAATTGTACCTAATCTACTTTGTAAAGTCTTTATGTGGCATGCAGCAGAGTCTGCCCATATTGGTTAGGAGAGAACTAGATCTTCCAAAAATCTCAGTCCACTAAATCTATATAATAAGCACTTTGAAAGGTCTATATTTATTTTTCAAAATGTGTCAATTTTATTTACTTTCATACTCAGTAATCTATATGTTTTTAGTTTTTTTTACCTCTTTAGCTTGTCTTCTCCCAAATACATTTCTTTATTTTAAACACTATAGACAGTTGCATGATCTAACGTGTCCATGCTGCCCCCTGGTGCACCGACAGGAAAGGCCCTCTCCTACATCAACAAGCACTTCTTCAGTGATGCCAACGGAAACCGTGGAGGGGCTCCTAATGTGGCTGTGGTGCTGGTGGATGGCTGGCCCACAGACAAGGTGGAGGAGGCGTCTCGGCTCGCTCGGGAGTCTGGCATCAACATATTTTTTGTCACCATCGAGGGGGCGGATGATAATGAGAAACAAAACCTGGTTGAGACCAACTTTGTTGACAAGGTGGAGTATTTTCATACAGGTATGTCAGTGCTTTATAGGGGACATATCCTGAAAACTCACTTTTCCAGTGCTTGTACACGTAAAGTTGCTTTTATAGAGTGCCTACCGACCCACAATGTGCGAAAACGAGGGTTTAAACAAGCCAATCAGATTTGGCTCAACTTGGCTTTACCCAAACTTGAGAACTACCTTTGTAAAGTTCTGGCATATTTTTCCCGGATGTTTTCGGGAGGCAAGCTTAAAGGGACAGGTGCTAAAACAGAGCGTTTCGGACAGAGGGTGAATACAGGTATATTCAGACAGCCACTATTAGAAAAATAATAAAAATGTTTTTTTTGAACAGTTAGGAATATAAACATGTTCTAGTAGAAACCCATAATACAAGTATGAACCATAATATGTCCTCTTTAATAACAAAGTGTGGCCTTCATCCAACAGGCTGTGTGTCGGACAAACGGCTTCTACTCCCTGCCTGTGTCCAGCTGGTTTGCTCTGAGGAAGGCCGTGCAGCCCCTGGTGAAGAGAGTGTGTGACACCGACCGCCTACTGTGCAGTAAAACTTGCCTCAATGCCAATGATATTGCCTTTGTGATCGACGGCTCCAGCAGCGTGGGAACCGGCAACTTCCGCACAGTGCTTCAGTTTGTGGCCAACATCACACGGGAGTTTGAGATCTCTGACACCGACACGCGGGTCGGGGCTGTGCAGTACACGTACGAGCAGAGGCTGGAGTTTGGTTTCGGCCAGTACAACAACAAGGTCGAGCTACTGAACGCCATCAAACGCGTCGACTACTGGAGCGGCGGGACCAGCACCGGCGCTGCCATCACCTTCGCCGCAGATCAGCTTTTCAGCAAATCCAAACCCAACAAACGCAAGATCATGATTGTCATTACAGATGGGCGCTCCTACGATGATGTCAGGGCGCCTTCACTGGCTGTCCATAGCCAAGGTGAGAGGTCAACCAAAATACAATCTGAAAAAGAAGGAGATTTTAGGGAAATAAGATCAGGTCACGAAGTGTTTATGTCCTTCCATCTATGAAACATTTTTTAAGTGCACTGAACAAAAATGTAAAAGCATGATAAGAATAATTAAATCAGTTTTTTCCCAATTAAAGGGACATTAACCCCAAATACATTTTCCTCTAACTTCTGCTTGTATTTTTATGTCTACATTTGTTTTGCCAAGTTTGTGTTGTCAGGTGGTTGATGGCCATGTGGATATCTGCCTGGATATATTCTCTCAAATACAATGAGGAACTATTGTTTCTCTGTGAACAGGGATACAGTTTGCGGGTTACACTTTGGAGGAAATAGGCTTCAACCCAGTATAAACAATATAATTATCCAAAACGTACTTTCCTCTGGTGTGTGTCAGTCCACAGTGAGGTGTCAAACAGTGTGGGTTTGATGTGACAAACACATGTGAGGCCTGTGTGTGTAACCTGCTGTCCCTCCCTGTGATCTAGGTGTGATTGCATACTCCATCGGCATCGCCTGGGCAGCCCACGATGAGCTGGAGTACATCGCCACAGACCCCGACAAGGAGCACTCCTTCTTCGTGGACGAGTTCGACAACCTCTACAAATTTGTTCCCAAGATCATCAACAACATCTGCCAGGAGTTCAACTCCCAGCCTAGAAACTGAGGATGCACGGGTGGAGGGGAGGAGGAGTACAGACGGACATCTTGATCCTGGGCCGTCTTAACGGAACACTGATAGTAAATGTACTCACTCTGGTGCCCAGATGGCGGTGCTGGATTGGCTGCAGCGCCCCCATATTTAAACAGGGAGGTGATTCGAAATTTAGGTGAGGATTGTGGACAAAAAACAAATCTCAAAGTGAAATACTATTCGGTCCCAAATATACAGATGGTGCTAATGGTAAAGGGTTTACATTAACAGTGACATCTCATGCACACTGTGGTACCATTTGTTCTCTGTTGGTGTTGTAAAGAGACCAGAGTATTCCTATTCATTTTATCCACAAACTTAAAGAGTCATCCTTTATAAATGGTTTATAAGTTGTAACTAGGGGTTTACCAAGAATGGCACTTGAAGATCGCCGACAAGGCCATTCTAACAAGTTTCATAAATATAGGGCAAGTCGTTTTTCCGTAATCCTACTAACTGTGTTGCTAAGATAAACTAAGCAACACACAAACAACCAAAACCTGACAGAGGTAGTAAATCATTGAATTAGAAGGCACTAATCAGAAACAATTTAGGGTTGTGACATTTCCCCTTACAGGCACTGGTGTTTATCCTCCTCTGGCACGATTATGTATTTATAGTTCTTGTGTACACCTCTCTAATGCATAGTTACACCTCAGACATACGGTGGCCGACAGGTCCCAACGGCCCAAAACATTTCCATTAGAAGAAACACGCTGCAGTTTCAAAAACGATGCACTGTTACTGGAAACGTACTAAAATGCATGTTTTATTGTCTTATCTTAACAATGTAATTGCATGATTCCTTCCGATACTATTGCAGATCAGTTGCTAGCTAGCTAACTTAGCTAACCTAGTCATTTCAATAATAATGGCAAAACACTTACAATTATGAAACAGACTAACTTTGCCAACAGTGACAGTGGGCCAACTTTATAATCCCCGAACATCAACAAGCGTCACACGCTGTATGCTTCACTTTTTAGTGTCCCTGTTTCCGTTGTGTTTTGCTTCGTTTTTCATTTGCAACGTTTTGTTAAAGGTCACCTAGTATGCAAAATCCACTTTTTCATGTCTTTTATACATAAACATGTGTCTCCTCTGTGGAAAGAGATTCTGAAAGTTTCAGGAAAAAAGATTCGCTCACTTTTTGTCCTGGTCCATCTTTATAAAAACCTGTCTGAAAATGAGCTGATCAGATATTGGCCACTTTATGATGTCATTGGCTTGTGTAACCATTAGCCAATCACCACCAAGGTAACCCCCACCTTATCACCTGAATCTCCTCACCAGCACCATTGTGTTTCTTTTTAACCAAATATCTCTCAGAGGGGCATGGGGAGTGGCACCTTATTTTCATCTAAAGTAAAAGACAGAGAATCAGCACTTTTGAAACAGGGCTGAAACAGAGGGGATTATGGGATGCGACAATGCATGATCTGTTTGGTATTTGGAGCCAAACACTTCAGAGACATGTTTTCTATATATCTGAGACCTATAATATATAGTTGAAAAACAGTATAATAGGGGACCTTTAATGCAGCACTTTTAGTAAACCCTGCGCATGTTTCGTCAATTTGGTGAATGTTTTCTGAATGCTGCGCATATGTTGTCATATTGTAAAAGATGTTTCTTCCTTTGCATGTGTTTTGGCACATTTGTATTTTTTTATTTGCATCGTTTTTTGAAAGTGCAGTGTGTTTCTCCTTATGCAAGTGTTTGGCGCGTTTGCACCTGTTCGGCCACCGTACTGCTCTTCTGGAAAAGAGCTGCGGAGCATCAAGCATAACATTCATTTGTTAGCAACCAGTGTTTGTAACGACAAGCTTGTTAAAGCATGTAGCATGCTAGGAGAACATACTGTATTTTGGCAAGCCAAAATTGAAAGTCCGCCAGTACACCAGCACCTTTATAAGAAGGAGCCTTATTATAAACTGGTACCACCACAATGATAAACAAACATTAAGTTAACTTACTAGGACATGGTGCTTACAGAGAAATATAGATTTAAAGCTTGCCTAGCACTTCCTCTTATGGCTTAACATTCTTCATAAACTTCATAATATGGTGCTTTTTAAACAATTCTCTGTTAAGAGGATCAACTTTCTTAGAATTGGTGCATTTTAATCTTCCTAATAGGAGAGATTTGATAATGGGGACATAGTTAAAGTTCCTCTCAAAGACTATGGTGCTGATATTGCTGTTGGTATGAGTGTTAGTTGAATTGAGGCTTATGTGAAAGTCAGAAAAATCAACAACACGGAACAAGGACTTGTGTGAGAAGTGAGGAACGAGGAGATTGTATATCTTTGTATAGGTGATCTCTGGAATGACCCATTCGTCTCCTCGCTTCTGTTTTTAACAGTGTGGTAGCTTCTAACTTCGCAGGCATTTCTCCGTTTTGTTGAAAGAGTATTTATGATTTTCTTCCCGTTATGTCCTGTTTGTACATAAGCATATTAAAAGCCTTTCGCTAATAATGTTCATAATTGATCAATATTTTTTTTTGTTGCAATTTTTAATAAAATAAAGAAAATGAAGAGAATGTAAAGTGGCTGTTTTTCATGTTTCTTCTTGGATGTTATTATTGTCAAAATCGCACTCCTTTCGTATTTTTAACTAAATCAGAACACACAAAAATACACATGATTTAAAAAGCAAAGTGATTAACACTTATCGTTATCTCTCATGTCAATGCGAAGATTTGTCCCCAATTCCACTTGGAAATCTTAGGGAAAAAGTAAACTGTTATAACTGAAGCAGTAGCCCCAGAATCACTGAGCTTCTAAGTTTTCTTATGTATCAGTAATCCAGTGTGTGTGTGTTCGTCCATAGATATACAGCAAATAGAAGCTGCTAATGACTAATTCGGTATAAGTTCAATTAGTCAAAATGTATCAAAAAACAGGATCAAGCTGTATCTCATAACGAAACACACAGAATCCATTGAACGTTTGCCAAATGACCAACATCAGAGCCCAGTAAACATTTTACAGCAGGTTTTATTTTGAACATACTTTCATATACAAACCAGTGACTGAGAAAATGGCTCATTTGAAGCTGCACTCTACACGTACAACATCTTGATTGACTTGTCTTTTTTTAAACCCAGGATAGCTTTGTCCTCCAGTAAACTAGAGACATTTCTTTGTCTTCCCTCAGTGTTGGATGGTGAACTCATTATTTCCAAGTAGTCCCACAGTACTGCACTAATTTCTGCTAAACATTGGACTACTGTAAATATCCGGACATGATACATCACATTGTAGTCGAGCATGTCCGCACAATTGGGGAAAACTACATACAGTACAAGCCATTCAATTCACACAAGAGCAAACTGGCCAAAATTAGTTAGTTATTCCTAAAATGGACATCTAGAAGTTTGAATTGTAATTATTTAACCAAGATGGTTTACTTTGGACACATATGCTTGCAATCTTACTTCTGAAGTGTACAGTTACTTGAATCTAACAAACAGGCATTATATTTAATGGTCTGTATCACTCTACCAGCTTTGAAATGCACAAAATTGATTCCCCAACCACACTTATCAAAAAGGAGCACTCAAACTCACGCTGCACAGTAAATTTTAAGACTGAATATATATTTTTGTTTATTATAAGCATTTGTAATTTTACATCCAATGTTAAAATTGACAACATTGTGACCATCCAGCTCCGTTTCTCCGCCGTCCCCTCCCTCCCTGTTCCCCAAAACAAGCTTGTTAAAATAACATTTTTCAAGACCTTTTTAAAGCAAAGGCACATTTGTCAATACGTGTTTTTAAAAAGGAAAAAATAAAGGCAGGCCAGCAAGCAGAGTCAGTCTGGGAAGCAGAGAAGAAGAAGAAGAAGAAGAAGTGAGAGGCTGCCACGACAGCTCCAGTGAGCCTTCAGTACCCCACATTTCTGGAACAACACAACACAAAACCTGACTTGGAGTAAAAGAGCCCGGACCTGGTATGTGAGAGGGTTGAGGGGTCAGGGGGATTTGGGATGAGCGTGAAGTCACGGGGCAGAAGACCGGCTTGAAACCTAATTTATCCACTCCTCGCTCTAACACTTGTCCTGAGCCTGCTAGTTACAGAGGTGAGTCTGTCTGAGGAGGGGGGGTGCTGTGGCGGGTCACACCCAGGCCTGCCTGGATGGTAGAGGGTGGGGGGGGGGGGTCAAGAGAGCAGATTTCCTCCTGACTGCCCTCCCTGCCGACCCTCGTCATGGAGAGTCACGGTCCGTTTTGAGGCTACATAGTCTGCCAGTGGGACAAGAAACCAGTGGGCTGTGAGAGGTGGGACTGGACCCCTGCCTGAAGGTCCTCCCCCCCCCTGTGTCTCTATTGGTCCCTGATCATGGGAGGCTGAGTCCGAGAGCGGGGCTGCAGGGGGACACGCAGCTCCGCGTCATACGAACACTTTGGCGAGAGCGTCGGCCCCGGCGCTGGCGATGTAGCATTTAGTTGGATGGAACGCCACGTCGTGGATCGACTCGTCAAACTTCTTTCTGTGAGCCGTGAACTCCTGGATGCAGGTTTTACTATCCAGGTTCCACAGACGGATAGAGCAGTCATGACCTGCGAAACGACATGACCAGTTATATAACATTCATTTGTTTTCTCTATGGATGAGTGTTAAACTGATTACAAGAGATCAGACTGTAAAAGTATAGACATTTTTATAAAGGCACACTCCGGATCCACTTTACATTATAGTGACTGAATCATCTCTGTTTATTCAGCAGGTAGGTAAAAAATGATATACAAAGTGTAACATCAATCAATCAATCAATAGGATACGGCTGTAATAGGCCTAAGGCCTTTTAGTTGCTCATAAATAAGTAGATCACTGTTCTTTATATACTATGTATACATATAACATGTATATGTTCTGGTACTTACTGCCTGACATGAGGTACAGTCCGTTGGGGTCTACAGCTAAGCTTGTGACAGCGTCCAGGTGAGCCACCATGGAGTGAATCATTTTCCCACTGTTGTTGTCAAAGAACTTGATGTGTCTGTCCTCCTCCGCGGTGATGGTGATGGGAAGAGTCGGGTGGCTGAGGACCTTATTGATCTGACAGGGAGTGCCTGGTGGAAACAGATAAGCACGTTAGACGTCACACAGCAGGAGAGGGAACTCAGGGGGGGGGCAGTCCATCTGGATGAGATCAGTAGCTGAAACTGTCTGAAAGCATTATCTCCAAAGGCCATCTGATCAGTCTCATATTTATATAACCGATTTATATTTTTTTGCTGGTCAAATACATTATTCATATGACGCATACGCAGCATTGGTGTGTTCAAGTCAACGTTTTGAAGAACATTTATATAGCCAATGTTATCTCATGAAACATTACAATTTTCCATGAGATAAAAGTCACAAAGATGTTTGGGTATTCTGTACATTTTTTTTCTTAAAAAAAAGTTATAATGGACAGGTCAATAATGTTGGGAATCGCAATGCATTTCGAGTAAAGTGAGTAAAACTACAAATACAATAAACATTGTTATATTATGCACAATTAGGTCTTACTGTATTATCTTTTTTGGTCAAAACACAGAAACACATTTTAGGTCAGTAGATGTGTCTGCTTATGATTTCCTTTCCTATAGCTGCCACTAGATGTTACTCAAGAGCCATATTTTCTGACTCTACTTCCTCTTCATTGCTGAATTCAACACGTGGTATATAGTTTATAGTATAGGGTGTTTTTTATTATTATTGTAAGATTAGAAACCAATGTAAAATGGTACTGATCGAGGTCTAAATGCTGCAGCCTTTAACTTGGCAAACCTACCCGGCTCCAAGTTGGACTCGAGACTGAGGACCAGCTGGCGGGTCTCCATGTTGAAGAGTCCGATCTCTCCGTTAGTGAAGGATGAGACCAGGTGGGCCGGGTCACTGGATACCAGGTCTACTGAGGAGGGGATCCCCAGCTCTGGGACACAGAAAGACAGATACATTAATGTTGACTATTCAACTTAAGCGAACATTAGGAAAAATAAGGTCATAATACACGTTTGAAGTACTTTTGTCTTCGTTGAATACTGCGAGGGCGGGGGAGGTGGTGTTGGCGTCCCACAGTCTCACAGTCCCGTCTGCAGAGCAGGAGAGG